GCTGAAATTATTAAAATAACCCCCTTCAAAAGTTTGGGAACCCTTGGTTCTTAATACTGTGTGTGGTTACCTGGATGATCCACGACTGTTTTTTTGTTTTGTGATGGTTGTTCATGAGTCCCTTGTTTGTTCTGAACAGTTAAACTGAGCACTGTTCTTCAGAAAAATCCTCCATGTCCTGCAGATTCTTCAGTTTTCCAGCATCTTCTGCAGATTTGAACCCGTTCCAGCAGTGACTGTATGATTTTGAGATCCATCTTTTCACACTGAGGACAACTGAGTGACTCAAACACAACTATTAAAAAAGGTTTAAACATTCACTGATGCTCCAGAAGGAAAAACCATGCATTAAGAGGGGGGTGAAAACATTTGAACAGGATGAGGATGTCCAAATTTTTCCTATTTTGTTGAAATATCTTTTTTTTTTTCCATTTAGTTTTGCCCTTCGGAAGCAACAGAAGATACTTGCATGTTTCCCGGAAGACAAATTAAGTACAATTTACCTTGATCTTCAAATTCAAATTCAAAAAGGTTCTTAATGCATGGTTTTTCCTTCTGGAGCATCAGTGAATGTTTGAACCTTTTCTAAATGACTAAATGTCAACATCTTTTATGTCAAATACCTCACTCAGGACTGTACTAAATAAAAAATAACATGCATTTTGTATGATCTCTCTTATTTTGTTAAAATTATTCACATTTTCACAGATTCTGCAAGGGGTTCCCAAACTTTCGCATGCCACTGTATTACCAAAATTTCACAATATGAATCATTTTATTTCATGATGACAACATGTATATCACAAAATAATTGTTATTTAGTTGTGTATTTTACAATTGCTATAGGACACATTTCTCAATACTTGGGTAATTTTTTTAAACTCTTCACACAGTTCTCCTTACCAATAGCAATTTCACATGCAAAATGAACTAAAACTACTAAAACACATCATAGATGTTTTAAAATCAAGTCATTTGTGACCCTGGACCACAAAACCAGTCATAAGGGTAAATTTTTCCAAATTGAGATTTATACATTATCTGAAAGCTGAGTAAATAAGCTTTCCAACTATTTGAAAATCTGGAATCTGAGGGTGCAAAAAAATCAAAATATTAAGAAAATCGCCTTTAAAGTTGTCCAAATGAAGTTCTTAGCAATGCATATTACTAATCAAAAATTAAGTTTTGATGTATTTACAGTAGGAAATTTACAAAATATCTTCATGGAACATGATCTTTACGTAATATCCTAATTATTTTTGGCATAAAAGAAAAATTGATAATTTTGACCCATACAATTGTATTGTTGGCTATTGCTACAAATATACCCCAGCGACTTAAGACTGCTTTTGTGCTCCAGGGTCACATTTTTCTATAACACTATAAAGGTAAAAAGCCTAGATAAAAGGCTTTGTCAAATAAATAATTGTAAAAAAGTTACTGAGTGCACCGTTAATATTTTTAAAAATGAAAGTCTTAGCGAAATTGTTTTCTTAATTTTCTGCAGTAGCTCAACTGAAGCCTTTATTCGTATGGTATTTCATGTGTTTGTAGGTGGTTCTGGATGTGGGCTGTGGAACAGGGATATTGTCCTTCTTTGCCGTCCAGGCCGGGGCTAAGAAAGTGTACGCGGTGGAGGGCAGTTCTGTGGCCAAATATGCAGAAGTACACACAATCCTATTTATGATTCATTTACTCACGCTCGTCAGTTCAAACACATATGAGTTTCTTGCTGGAACACAAAAGATGCTCTGCGTGTTTAGCAGGATGTTTTCCATGCAATGTGTTAGAAGTATTATAAAAAATAGTCTGTGAGACTCATGCAGTATAGTGCACGTCTTCTGAAGTCATACCATATCTTTGTGTGTGGAACAGACTGAAATGTAATTCTCCTGCTCAAAATCTTGTTTACTACTGTGGCTCTCAAATCTTATTCTCACTTCTACATATTCAAATGTCAGCTATGAGACACATGAGAGCCATTCTGCAGCACTGATGAGTGACAGATATTCATGCAAATTTGAATATACACAAACTAAAGTTAAATCTGAGTGTTTTCCCAAAAATAAAGGTTTGGGTTTGGCTTAGATTGGGGTCTGTTCCTCACACAGAGTTGTTGTAAGCCTTTAGACAAGTTGGATCACACACAGACTACTTTTATGATTCCTTCATGTCCTTTTTTACAGCATCTTTTCCCATACACTTTATTGCAAGAAAAAGAGTTGAATGAACATTCTGCAAAATGTCTCCTTTTTTGTTTTATGGAAGAATCAAAATCATATGGCTTGGGGGGGAGTAAAGACAAACTTCCATTTTTGGGTGAATTAACTAATTTATCATAATATTGGGAAATCTGATCATCAGAAAATTGCCAGTACCTTTACATTTTTCTATGGATTTTTTGTTGTTGTTGTAGCAATTAAAGGAATAATTCACCCAAAAATTTGCTTAAGATTTATGCATCTGCAGACCATCCAAGATGTAGATGAGTTTGTTCAGATTTGGAGAAATGTAGCATTGCATCAGTGTCTCAGCAGTGAATGGGTGCCGTCAGAATGAGAGTCCAAACAGCTGATAAAAACATCACAATAATCCACAAGCAATCCACTCCACTCCAGTCCATCAGTTAACATCTGGAGAAGTGAAAAGTGAAAACAAACCTATCAAGACATTTTTAACTAAATGTCATTTTATACTAAAATACGAGTCTATAATCCATAATAACACTTCCTCCGGTGAAAAAGTCCATGCCCAAAATCTACTTGCTTGTTGCTGTTTTGGACTGTTTTCACTTGTAAGTGGTGTTTGATCTGTGCAGATTTCTCTCCTGATTCAGACCAGACCCCTTTTTTTCACTGGAGAAAGCAATATTATGAATAGAGGACTTCTAGCCTGAAGCAACAACTTGAAGTTAAAAAAAAAAAAATCTTAATGATCTCTTTATAAAACACACACCCTTTTCACTTCTCAAGACATTAACTGATGGACTGGAGTGGTGTGGCTTACTTGTGGATTATTAAGTAATCGCTTCGCGTCGTGCCTAACAACGCCCCTTAGCTGTTATAAATTCACTGTAAACCACGGCTTCACGGGGCTTATTGCTGTGCCTAACAACGTCTCTTAGCTGTTATAAATTCTCTGTAAACCACGGCTTCACGGGGCTTATTATCCATATACGCAGTAAGGTTTCACAGAATAAAACAGAGCAAATAAAGTGTAATGATATTAATAAAAACAGTATTCTTCCACCAAACAATGTAGTTCCTCAGAAACAGTTGTGGTTCCAACAAAGTGGTTGCCGAGCAACACACAGAAGTAAACAAATGTGTGTGTTTGTAGAGTAATTTACAACAGCTTCGAACGCGGATCAACCAATCAGAATCAAGCACCGGAACTCTCCGTTTTATATTGTGATGTTTTTATCAGCTGTTTGGACTCTTATTCTGACGGCACCCATTCACTGCAGAGCATCCATTGCTGAGACACTGATGCAATGCTACATTTCTCCAAACCTGTTCGAATGAAGAAACAAACTACATCTTGGATAGCCTGAGGGTGAGGACAATTTTTTTTTTAGCAAATTTTCGTGGGTGAACTATTCCTGTTAAATAAATCACAGATTTCCATGGGTAAATCTATTACAAAGAGCTTCCAGTGCACAGTGAGGATATAATGTGTTTTTTGGCCAGCTGTTGGATGTGCTAGGATGATAAATCACTCATCACTATCTGTGCTGTCACACCCATTTGGCATGAAGTTCAGGGCTATGGGTTTTGTGGAAAAATAACCAGGCCGAGACAACTTTTCTGGAACATTTTCACAGGGCAACACCTTCAAGAGTCCTTCAGAAGGATCTTTCCTGCACGTCTGGAATGCATGACATTCTGGCTGCTAGATGACTTGAAGACAGATTTGGCCCGGAAACCTGCGTAGTGGGCAAGGACACGTGGTTTCATGGATAAAGACTGCTTTCTTAACAGTGCTAATAGCGCTATTTTTCTCATTTAGTGGAAAGCTCTTGTTACTCTTGTAGTATTTTGTAGACTACTACCACATGTGTTTGAGTTTCTATTGCCACATCTGATTTATACAACTAAAGTTCCAAATATAGCACACAAAACCTTTAACTGTTCATCTCTAAATTATTTCCTTTGTTTAGAAAAGAGATTACTAAGGAATTTTTTGTGTACGTTTGCAAGGGTAATAATCAAACCCATATTTTTAAACTCTTCCTCAGTGCTTGTAAGGAATTTTCCATTTAAAGTTTAAAGTTAATGCTGCCTATTTTAAAACGGCAACCTTAAAATTACAAATGTGTAATTACAAATATATTTTAAAACATGGCAGTTTTTTAAAATAGAAATTATTAGATTAAAGTTTATTTTAGTTTGCCATAAATGTTTGTCAGTACATTTGACAATAAACTTTAAAAAATATTTGAAAGACAATCGAATTATAAAATAACATAAAAAGAGATATGACTTAAATATGTCAAAAAAGTTCACATTACTGCATTTAATATACATTTCAAATATAATACATTTTAATTTAATTGCAATTAAGATGTACCTAAGTGCCTGAAAACATTAAAAGAATAAAAGTGTGTGAACTGAATGTAAAGTATATTCTTTCAATAGTAAGTACTTAAAAAAAATACATAAGCAAATAAATAAATAAATCACACGAGTATGCTCATATTTTTGTTAGGCACTTAATTGCTCATATAATTCCATACAAAGTATTTGTAAGCCATCCAAGTTGTAAGCTGATTTGTAGACTGGCTATGTGTTACTGACACAATTCCTGTAATTTTGTCAGTGTAAATGGCTTATAATATTAAGTTTTGTTTTAACTTATAAGTTTATAATATAACTTTACACAGTTAGTAGTGATGCACTAGTCTCATTAGCATATAATCTTGTGGTTCTACTTTTTTTTTTTAAAGTGTTTTTTGATGTTTATTCTGGTGCAAGATATTGCCCCATAGATAGTATTCCATTATAAATGCATCACCGTGAACGAGATGCTGTTGATAAAGCTTAAGTTGTTTTGTCATTCTTGTCTCTTCAGATTCTAGTTCAAACCAATAACTTGTCCAACAAAATCACAGTTTTGTCAGGAAAGATTGAGGAAGTTTGCTGCCCAGAGAAGGTGGATGTGATCATCTCAGAGCCCATGGGCTACATGCTGCTCAACGAGAGGATGTTAGAGAGCTATCTGCACGCCAAAAACTGGTTAAAACCCAAAGGTCTGTGCATCCGACAACAGTCATCACATTTCCCTGTACACATATATAATATGTTGTGTTCAAATGTTATGGGTTATTAGTTGTACTGGTTTTCTATCACTGTCCAGGCATGATGTTCCCGACTCAGGGTGACATTCATCTGGCTCCTTTCACTGATGAACAACTCTACATGGAGCATCACGCCCGCTCCCACTTCTGGTAATAACAACTCCTGCCTTCTATACTGTAGCAATTCTCCAGCCTGCAGTTTTCATTCATAGAAAGAACATCTGGACATCTGGGAAACATAACATCTGCTTTTTAAGTTTTTTTGCCTATGCATGGTTTGAAGAGATCTACCAGTGTCATATAAGACTAAAGATTTTTCTACGTCATTCATTTAATCCATTAGTCCATAACTAATTGCACATTTATATTAATTTAATAATTTTAATATATACTGATGGAGAAACTAAACCATAATGAGCCTTTAATATATAGCCTATTCAAGCGCACACATAAAGCTTGCCGCAAAGCACCGACAAAAGTAATGACTATGAATGTGTGTTGGAAAAAACAGCAAGATGTTTTAATTATTTATTAATAAACTAGTGTCTGTGAGGCCAGTAGCGAGTGGCCGTGTGAAGTTGCTAATACTTACATGTTTTAATTTCAAATGATAAGCCATATTTAAGGTCGATGAATGATAGGAGAACGTTTGGATATTTCTGCCCGATATACTGTAATTACCAAAAGGACCAGCTGTTAACTGTTATCTGTTCATTACGGACTGTGTGGCTTCACGTTGCCTAGCATTTAGTCAAGTATTAAGGGGGCAGCGGTAGTCGAAACGCAATAGTTCACCACAAAAATTTTTTAACTTGGCTATCAATTACTCACCTCTTTTATGTCTTCCAAGTAGGGCTGCAAAACGATTAATCGCGATTAATCTATTCAAAATAAACGTTTATGTTTACATACTATCTGTGTGTGCACTGTGTATATTTATTATGTATATATAAATACACACATACATGTATATATTAAGGGAAAATATGTTACATTTATATGTAAAATATTTATATTTATATTAGTGCTGTCAAACGATTAATCGCGATTAATCGCATCCAAAATAAAAGTTTTTGTCTACATAAAATATTTGTGTGTACTGTGTATATTTATTATGTATATAAATACACACACATACAGTTTATATTTTGAAAATATATACATGTTGTCACGTGTAGCTATGGAAAGCACACAATGCAGGAGAAGAAATAAACAAAGTCCTTTTCATAATAAATCCACAGGCAGGAGACAAACACAATATCAACATCAATACCGAGAAAAGGTCATTAGGGAGAACTGAAACAGGTGTGGAGCTAATTAATCAAAAACCATGGAAACTAATAGACAAGGGAACTCAGGGAAATGTGGAGACAGAAACAGAACATAACTGTGACACATGTATTTACATGTATATTTATATTAATTTATAAATGTATATTTATAAATAAACTTAATATATAAACATAACATATTTTTCTTAAATATATATATGCATGTGTGTGTATTTATATATACATAAAAAATATACACAGTACACACTTATATTACGTAAACAAAAAACTTTTATTTTGGATGCGATTAATCGCGATTAATCATTTGACAGCACTAATTTATATATAATATAAATTATATACATGTTTACATAAAGACATACAATATATATAAAGATTTTTTAAAATATATTTATAGATGTGTATTTATATATACAGTGCCTATAAAAAGTATTCATACTCCTTCATTTTTTTCACGTTTTGTTATGTTGCAGCCTTATGTTAAACTGCTTTGAATTACTTTTTTTCCACATCAGTCTACACTCCATACACCGTAATGACAAAGCGAAAACAGAAAAAAAAATACTGAAATAAGTACATTGCATAAGTATTCATACCCTTAACTCAGAACATAGCTGAAGCACCTTAACAACCTCAAGTCTTTTTTGTTTGATGCGACAAGCTCTGTAGGTTTCTCCTGTCTCCACATATGATCATGGAGCTCAACTGGTGACCATCAGGTTCTTGGTCACCACTCTAAGCAAAGCTCTTCTCCGCCAGATGCTCAGTTTGGCCAGGAGGCCAGCTCTGGGAAGAGTCCTGGTTGTTTCAAACTTCTTCCATTATGGGTAACAGAGACTACATGCTTCTGTGA